GGAATGTTGATTTTACGATTTAAGGAATAATTTATTATTATAACTCTTGCCTGCTTGATTTAAAGTATAGGACCGAATCAGAACATTAATTGTTAACGACAGTTCCATTAACCCTTGGCACACTATGATACACTCAGTTAGCAGGGTGTTTTATAGGAGGTGTTAACCTCGTGCGCAGGCCAATGCATGTGTGCAACGAAAGGATCTATAATATCTTCAATTTTAAATCAAGATTAATTAAGTTCACATAGAATAATTAAGTATATCAGTGAAGTGTATGGCCAAAGAAGCCCAATGGGGTGTGTGTCTCGATTTCAATTCTAAATGTGGGTTCGAAGGGGATCGGATCACTCGAGAAGAAGAAGAGGAAGGAATTCTTGAAGAAAGTGATTATGTGCCACGCACCGCGGTGGATGCGTGACAACACTCCTAGAAGGGGCTCCTCTGTGCCATGCACTATGAGACATTATGCATTTGCCACGGTGCATGGTCAAAATTTTGCAGTATTAAGTCGTGAACCTGAAGTAAAATAGAAGAGAAAATAAAGGGAATCAAGACAGTGACAAAGAGCTGGGCTAGGGCTTGAAGAAACTAATTATTGAGAATAATTTGGAGCCCATAAACACTAAAGGTAAGCTTCCTTACTTAAACGTTCCTCTCTTCTTCCATTTTCTTGATGGTAGAGGTTAGGGTTTGATGTTTCATAGTGATTTTCGATCCATATAAGCTATGGGTCCGAACCTATGGACTTAAATAGAGTTAATGGGAGTAGATTGAGCTAAATAAACTTGATATTAATAGTTTTTATGATAATTGGTGGTTGGAGGACATTAAATGTCTGAAATTCTCATAAATTTGGTGGTTGAGAATAATATGATTTTATTAATGGCCATTTAAGAGCTCAATGTTATTAATGAGAGTTAAAGGAAGCTAAAAAGCTCTATGGGTACTTTTATGTGAGTCAAAAATAAATTTTAAACATTAAGAAATGATGAAGTGTTAGTGGAATATAGCTCAAAATGGATATGGATATTTTATATGGCAAATACTATAGAGTAACTATCATTGATACTATTCAAACTTCTTAAAAGTTTTGGGAGTAAATAATTGAGGGGTGAAACCTTTGACTTCTCAAATGTTTAAGGTAACCAGGAGAATTTTATCTTATGTTTTTATGTGTTTATTAGTTTATAGATTTATGATTGATCATTGAAATGTGTAATTAAAAAGAAATGCAAGTGTAGCTTGATTTGTTAGAAAATGACTAGATTGATTTGTGAGTTTTATGCCTTTTGATGTGAATTTTTTTTAGAAAAATATCGAAGGATTCTTGTTTTATGAAATGAGAGTTTAATAACTTTGTAATTGAGAAGTAACATGAATTTGTTTATGAGGAGTTCAATGATATTCAAAAGGGGTGAGTTCAATGATTTTGTGGGTGCAAGGTACAATGATTGTGAAATTGGAGTTCAATGACTTAGTTGGTTTGAAGTTCTATGAGAATTTGTTTAAGAAGTTAAATAATTTTTGAAATATAAAGTGCCATGAAAACTGATAATGTGAAGTTCTATAAATCTTATATGTGAATTATGACACGAATGTGCATTACATGATCTTGAGGGGTGAGAGTTCGCCTAGGAAGAGGAGTAGATGATAAATTTCACATGTTAAGGCCTATCCGTATGATGGTTTGTCGGTTGATTATATCTATATTGTCCTATTTATTCAATGAGAGACTGTCCTACTGGTTCAACGAGGGACTCAAACCTAGCTAACTATCTACCGATTCAATGAGGAGGCTAGTTAGGGTGTATGACACCTCATAGTGTGAGAAATGGGGAAAATCGTTTCCATAATTGAGTTGGGTACGCCTTGGTTGGTAATCCCCTCACAAGTGTTTAGGCTACGGAAGTTGTGAAATATAGACTATCCCTTTGAGGTTATAGCCTATGGTTTGTGTCAGAGGAATAAGGAGGATAATAAGGGAAGTGTGATCATGCATATGATAAGTAAATTGCACTTGTTGTCTATTTGTGTTTGAATAAGGAGGCGCAATGAAAAATTAAAATTTTAAAGTCCTTATCCTGATATGGATTGATGAACTCATTTAAGTTTAGGTGGATAGAAGAGTTACCTTTTTAATTCTTTGAACTTGGCGCACATTTAGATCTCAAAAGCTGACAACGTAGATCTGCTCCCTCTACTGGTATCCACACGAACAACTCTCTACTCGAACAGCGTGCTAGCGCTCTCAACGTCCCGTTCTCTTAAATGTTAATTTTTCTTTCTATAGGGTGTTCGTGGCTCTTAGAGTCTTTTTATTGGTAAAACTTTTCTAGCTCTCTCTCTACCTTCATAAGGATGTCCCTATCTATATATAGTATATACATAAGGACTTTTGTTCTTCTACTTAAAAGCTCACGAAAATTTAATTAAATTTATCTCATAAATTTAATCCCATATATCATATTTAATTTGAATTTATCTTATAAATTTAAATTTTAAAACAAACTGACATGATATTCTCTCTTATCATGTTAGTTATTAAATTAATCTATTATATAAAATAAATTTAAAAAGTAACATAAGATAATATAATATAACATAATATAATATAATATATATCACATATACATATTATACATATATATACGAATATATATATATACCATAACGACAACAGCTGGTTATGTATTGCTACAGGGTTTGACCGACACTGATCCGGGTCATAACAAAACATGAAAGGTTCTCAGTCCTCTTTCATACTGAGATTAACAAGCCGGAAGTCTCTTAAGCCTAGCTATAGACTTTTTACAGAACTACATCCTTCAGACCAGCACAGCACAGCTGTCCTTTGTTTCCTACTGGAGGCGTAGCCATAGCAACACATAACCAGTAATTGCCCTTACAGGATTATTGTGGAAATCCAAAACTTTTGTTAAGCACTAGATAATAATCTCTCCTTAATGCCTAAAAAAAAATTACTCAGACATACCTTTTATCTTCAATACTTGCAAAGAAGGAAATAATGAAACAAATACTTTTTATTGATAGTAAGAGGGCAAGATTACAAGGATGGAGGCAAAAAACTCAAGTGCTCGACCAAGCTCTTAGGTTCTCTGTGAAGTGTGTCTTGCCTCAGAGATTACATGGCTTTATATAGAGTTGGCATTCCAATTCTGGTTACATGACTATGGTTAATTTTTGATAAAAAGTAAAACCTAATTATTTTAAGAAAACGAAATTACTTTTGACAAAATAAAAAGTAAGTAGACAATAAAGTTTTAGGCTTCTTTTCAACTTTTTAGACTTTTGACTTTGTCTTCCATCACTTTTGTCTTGTCAACTAGTCTTCTTTTATCTCCTTCTTTACTTGTCAGCAGGCTAGTCTAGAATATTCATGTTGATAGAAGGGTCTTCATAGTCTTTGTCAGCTTCTCTTTTCTCATCACAATATTTACATTTATGGATAGCATATTCTGACAATACTTGACATATTTTCTTTTTTGTCCCTTCATTATTATCCATCAAATTATTTTAGTCTTTGGTACCAATTATTGAAGCTTCTTGAGTTTTTGCTATATTTTCTTACTGAGAAAATACATGTTGTTGGACCAGTGAAGTATGTCCATTGTTCTTCTTCTATCGTAGTTGTCCTATTGAGTTTTTGAAAAATTATATGTATTTCTTGTGCTCTGATAGTGGAGATCTTATATATGAGGCCTTCGTCATTCATAATGTCTTATTTTTCTTCTTGATCATACTCAATGGTCTTCTTGTTGTCCCAACTTAATCAGATTATTGGAGGATAAAATTTGTCAGGAGTTATTTCAGCTATTGTAGAGTGACACTGAATAAAGACTCGGTATGGGTTACTATTTCAAATAATGTTTTGCAGCTTCCTTGATTGATTCAAGAAGTTTAGATATTTTAGACATATCATTAGATGCATATATAGAGTGGATAAGGCTATAACTATAAAGGATTTTTACAAGATCAGGGTTAGTGTTTGGATAAACAATAACTTTATTGAAGGAATAATAGGAAACATATTTAATATTATTGGTGTTAGGAAGAAGGAAATGATTGATCTTATTGATGAGATTTTGAAATAATTATATTGGTCTAAGGTCTTAAAGGATGTGAAGTTACTGGGCTTGGACTTCTTCTCCTAGAAGAGGTAGAAGTGGATGCACTATTTTGAGGTGTTCTTGTCACTATTTGAGGTTTAGATTTTTGGACTTCTTTTACTATTTCAGTGAAAGGAATTATTGAGTTGGATTTAGTTAGACTATGAGGCTGAATAATGAATCAGGAGTTTAGTAGATGACTCAATTACTTGTTTTACTTGTTTTCAGGGGATTGGGATAATGGTTCCTTAGATTTCTTTAAGGCCTCCACTTTACTTGTCAATTCATTCACCTCATCTCTGAGATAAGCTACTGTTCCAGATAATGATTGAATACTTGAATTTAATTGTCCAGCAAGAAGGCTTATATTTATCTCTAGAATATTTAGCTTCATGATTATTTGATCTAGTGGGGTCATTATTGGTCCTGTAGGTAAACCACCACCACTACTACTTGTCCTCATATTTGTTTCTCTTCTATTTAGCTCTATTTGGACAGATAATCAGCAACAAGATTGTTTTTTCCTTTAATATATTCAATTTCATAATCATAATAAGACATATCAAATTTTCATTTAATTGACATTTTATGACATAATTGAGTTGTTTTTATTCCTTTATTCAACCAATACTTTACTTAAGTGTTATCAGTTCTTATAATAAATCTAGTATTGAAGTAAATAATTCAAATTTTTGTACATCTTTTGTTATTGCTAAAAACTCTTTCCAATTAGAGTGATATTTAGTTTGAGAATCATTAAATTTTTCACTAGCATATCTAGTTATTGCTTCTTCTTCTTTTTCATTAATGTGATATAAAGCTACTGCCCAATAATTTTCTCTAGCATCTGTATAAATTATCCATATTACATCATTGTTAATTAGAATAGTTAATTTAGATAGATTTTGACATAAAGTTTTTATCTAATTCACTATTTTTTCTTTTTCTTTATCTTATATCCATACTGTTTTTTCTCCAATTAATTTACTTATTTTTGCTATTAATTTTGATAAGAAGAAAGGCTGTTTTTCTTTTACTAGGAAATGAAGGAAGGTTGTGCTGTGCTGGTTTGAAGGAAGTAGTTCTGTGAAAGGTCTATAGCCAGGCTTAAGAGACTGTCGACTTGTTAATCTCAATATGAAAGAGGACTGAGAACCTTTCATGTTCTGCTATAACTCGGATTAATGTCGGTCAAACCCTGTAGCAATACATAGCCAGCTGTTGTCATTATGTTATCTATTTCTAGCTTTTGTTTTATATATATATATATATATATATTATCTATATTTAATTTTATATCTCATATGTATATATCATATATATATATATATGTATATGGATATATATATATCAAAAATATATATAGACATATATATATATATTATATTTTGAATTTTATATTTCATATAAATAATATATATATATAAATATTTATCAAATAAATATTCAAATATATATATATATATATATAATTCATTCACTCTATATAACATTCATTGAATTTAGATATATTTCAGATTCAACAAACTTGGACATTATAGCTTGAGTCGGGCCGTTCTTGTGTGTGCGACCCTGTAGGCCAATATGAAATTGGCAGTGGGCTAATTATGCTATTAGCCTACAAGTTATAAGTGGCCTCTAGTAAGACATTGTAACTACCCAATTCACATAAGGATCGAAGATTCAATATAACCTATTATGCAATCATATCACATCCTTTTTGTCACGCGATATTTTGGTCAAGTATAAGACATGAAATTGTCATTCTCCTTTACCTGACCATTACTTTTTCAATTTTTGAGTAGACTGATAAGAGCAATGGAAAAACCCTTTACATTGTAGTATGGCCATATATTTTTTCAGTCTTACTTATCGTGGGGCCCAATAATATCTCTCACTTAATGTGAGAGATAAATTCCATCTTGATCACTCATATTTCTCTACATGAATATCACTAAACTCAATCATAGCCTTTATGATCACCCAGTCAAAAGTGACTTTTGATTAGGTCAAAGTTTAGTGGTCATCATGTAGGAATCCATGATGATCTAAGGTCAAAGGGCTTAGTGATATAGTTATATATGAGATAAACTTATGACTTGTACCATGCAGCTTTCTCATAGCAGGTTAGTCCAGTACCTTGTGCTCGTTCAAGTACCTATGACTTTAATTTGTATTTCTGTAATTAATCAAAGTCATACCAGTCTTATTTCATTTATGATCCCTTAAAGATAATCGACCAAGGACATTTAGGACAATCACTATAGTTTGTCCAGGGATACAGTTATCATATTGAACATGCAATTGTTATGATAACAAAAGAGAAATTTTTTAAATAACAATATGCATAGTATAATGATTGACCTTAGGGCACAATTTCCAACATCCTCCCACTTGCACTAGGTACAATCATTAATTTGTCTAATTCCCATTGTCCTGACATGACGTTCATGCTTCACCTGTGCAAGAGGATTTATAAGAGGATTAGCAACATTGTCTTCTCTTGCTACTTTGCATATTTTTATATCACCTCTATCATTGATCTTTCTGATAAGGTAGAAAGACCTGAGTATATGCTTGGTCTTTTGGTGTGACCTTGGCTCCTTGCTCTATGTAATTGCACCGCTATTGTCATAGAACAAGTTCATTGGATCTGAGATGTTAAGTACCACTCCTAGTTCAACAATGAACTTCCTAATCCAAACGGCTTCCTTTGCTACATCTGATGCTGCTAGATACTCAGCTTTTATTGCAGAATCAGCTATTATGCTCTGCTTTAAGCTCTTCCAGCTTACTACCCTACCATTTAAGGTGAACACATATCCTGATTGCGATTTAAGGTCATCCTGGTCAATTTGGAAGCTTGCATCTGTGTAATCTGTTACAACTAGCTTGTCATCCAATCCGCCATATACCAAAAATAAATCCTTAGTCCTTCCTAAGTACTTTAGGATATTCTTGATAGCAATCCAATGATCCTCTCCTAGATCTGCTTGGTATCTACTGGTCATACTTAAGGCAAATGAAACATCCGGTCGAGTACATAGCATGGCATACATGATAAATCCAATTGCCGAGGCATATGGAACCTTACTCATGTGATCTTACTAATTTTGTGTATTAGGATACTGGCCTTTGTTGAGATGAATGTCATGAGACATGGGGATGAAACCCCTTTTTGAATCCTGCATACTGAACCTATGCAGTATCTTGTCTATGTATGTGCTTTGACTTAGGCCTATCAGCCTTTTGGATCTATCTCTATAAATCTTAACCCCAAGGATGTAAGTGGCTTCACCTAAGTCCTTCATAGAGAAAGATTTTCCTAACCAAGACTTGACATTCTATAAGGTAGGAATGTCATTCCCAATTAGTAGGATATCATCTACATATAGCACTAGAAATATAATTGTGCTACCATTTTATAAACACAAGGTTCATTAATATTTTAAATGAATCTAAACTCTTTGATTACTTAATCAAAACATTAATTCCAGCTCCGAGATGCTTGCTTCAATCCATAAATGGATTTTTAAAGCTTGCACACCTTTTTAGAGTCCTTTGGATGCACAAAGCCTTCAGGTTGTGTCATGTACACTTCCTCAAGTAGACGTCTATTAAGGAATGTGTTTTAACCTCCATATGCCATATTTCATATTCATAATATGTTGCCATGGCAAGGAGGATTCTAATTGATTTGGCCATTACGACAAGTGAAAAGGTTTTATAATAGTCTACACCATGAGTTTGGATGAATCATTTTGCAACCAATCGTGCCTTGAAAACATTTACTTTGCCATCCATGTCAGTTCTCTCCTTAAAACCTACTTGCACCCGATGATTTTTATTCCTTCAGGTGGATGGATTAAGGTCTATACTTTATTATCGTACATGAATTGCATTTCAGATTTCATGGCATTTAGCCATTTCTTGAAACTTGGTCCCATTATGGCTTCTTGATAGGTGGTTGGTTCATTGTGTTCAATGAGCAACACATCATGACATTCATTAATCAAAAATCTATATCTTTGAGGATGATGCCATGTCCTATCAGACCTTCGTAGGCCTTGTATTATTTGAGTAGGCTCATTTACTTCTTATGAGTCTTCTCAATTTTTCATCTATAACTCTATGCTATTTTGTGGTTCTTGAATTTTTTCAAGATGTATCTTACTCCCACTGGTTCTTTTAGAGATAAATTCTCCTTTTAGAAAGATACCATTTCAAATTACAAACATTTTGTTATCTGTGGGATTGTAGACATAGTATCCCTTTGTTTCTTTAGGATACCCCACAAAAAGGTACTTTATGGATTTGGGTGCTAACTTGTCTGAGGCTTGTTTCTTAACATAAACCTCACTTCCCCAAATCTTGAGAAAAAACAAACTAGGTTTCTTCCCAATGCATATCTCATATGGTGTCTTCTCAATTGCCTTAAATGGAACATAGTTCAGTGTGAACGCAACTGTTTCTAGTGCATTGCCCCAAAAGGATGGTGGAAGATGTACATGACTCATCAAGGATCGAATCATATCTAATAGTGTCCGATTTCTTCGCTCAAAAACACCATTCCATTGTGGTGTTGCTGGAGGGGTTAATTGTGAGACTATCCCATAACTCCTTAGATGATTAATAAATTCTTAGCTCAAATATTCACCTCCTCGATCAAATTAAAGAGTTTTAATAGTCTTACCAAGTTGATTTTATACTTCATTTTGGAATACTTTGAACATTTCAAAAGATTCAGATTTATGTTTCATTAGGTAGATGTATCCATATCTACTATAGTCATCAATAAAGGTAATGAAGTACAGATAACCCCTTTGGTAGTTGTACTCATTGGTCCACATATATCTATATGTATAAGTCCCAATAAGTCATTAGACCTCTCACTATGCCTAGTAAAAGGTGTTTTTGTCATCTTTCCTAATAAACAAGATTCACAAGTCTCATAAGATTCAAAATTAAACGTGTTGAGAAGTCCATCTTAATGGAGTTTAGAAATGCGTTTCTCATTTATGTGGCTGAGATGACAATGCCATAGGTAGGTTGGATTCAAATTGTTCGATTTGATCCTTTTGGTAGTTACATTATAGATGTCTTCATTACTAGGATGTTCTAGATTTAAAAGATAATGACCAAAATGTAAATCACCATTAGCATAAAAAATTTTATTTTGATAAATAGAACATTTACCATTCCCAGTAATGGAAGTAAAACCTTCCTTATCCAAATAAGAAAGAGAAACGATGTTGCTACTCAAAGAAAGAACATAATAGCAATTGTTCAAAACTAATAAAAGCCCACTGGACAAAAGTAATTCATAAGTGCCTACAGCTAAAGCAGTAACTCTTGCTTTATTTCCAACTCGTAGGTCCACTTCGCCCTTTATCAACTTTTTACTGTTTTTGAGACCTTATACATTTGTACAAATGTGAGAACCACATGCAGTATCTAATACCCATGTAAAAGAAGTAGAAAGGTGAATGTCTATAACATAAATACTTGAAAGAGTAGCCCCGCTATCTTTCTTCTTTTTCAGATCTTCCAGGTAGAGCTTATAATTCCTCTTCCAATGACTCGATTCATTACAAAGGAAGCAAACTCCTTCCTTTAGAGGGAGGGTTTGCCTTCTTGGCTGGAGGCTTGGTTTCAGGCTTGTTAGACTCTTTGGTCTTACCATCTGAGCCTTTACCCTTTCCCTTGTCCCTGTCCTTGCCTTTCTTTTTCATACCCTTTCTTTTCTGAACCATCAAAATAGTGTTAGGCTTTTTCTTAATGTTTTGTTCAGCAGTTTTAAGCATCCCATGCAGTTCAGAAATGGATTTCTCTATGTCATTCATGTTATAGTTCATAACAAACTGGTCATAACTTTTCAGGAGTGAGTTTAAGATCAAATCTGTAGCAAACTCCTGGTTTAAGGGAAATCCAAGCCTTTCAAGGTGATCAATATAGCTCTTCATCTTTAAAACATGAGTGCTAAATGATGCACCCTCAGCCATCTTGCAAGAGTGTAAGGCCTTGATGGTCTCATACCTCTCTTGCCTTACCTGTTGCTGGAATATTTCCTTGAGATGTACAATCATCTCATAAGCCTCCATGTGTTCCAAATGTCTTTGAAGTTCTGAAACCATGGTAGCTAACATTAGACATCCTACATCCACTAAGTCATTGGTATGCTTTGTGTAAGCATCCTTTTGAGCTCTTGGAGCATTAGCCACAGGCTCCTCAGGAATGGGTTCATCCATGACATAAGCCTTTCTTTTCTACTTGAGAACAATTCTCAAATTCCTAAACCAGTCAAGAAAGTTCGTCCTATTGAGTTTGTCTTTCTCAAGGACTGATCGCAACGATAGTATAGCAGTGTTACTAGTTGACATGATTCTACAATAAAATACACAAAGTTAATTTTATATCTCCCACTAAAACTAATAACTCTCAAATTTGATTAGTGGGCTAAGACCCATATTTCACTTAAATTTAAGTCCACTTTGGCAGGACTCTTAAAATTAAGTTATTTAGGTAGGTAACTTATTTACCAATTACATCACATGTAACTCTTAAATCTTTATGGGATTTAATCATCATATGATCCGGCATGTTCAATCCCATCTAATTTCTTGAGATCTAAAACCATTTTGAAAATCTCAATTAAGTCAAACAATAATGAATCTTTGTGAGTAGCACCATTACTCATGCTTGTCACACCAAAATAACCCAAATGCATCCACTTTAGTGGATCTTATATTTAAATGATCTAGATTTTGACAAGTATTCATTAATTGACAGCATTATGACTTAAAATTTTAATTAGAGAGTTTGATTTATTAATTTAATAAATGTGTAAAGTGAAAGCGGTTGTATCTCATACAAAATCATGCATATTATGATCTAATCAAAAGCATAATTCAACATGACACAATATGGCTCACCTAACCTATGTCCATGCCAAGCCAATGAGAGGACCTCTCTAAAAAGATAAATTACATTAAGAAATGAAAGCGGTTGTATCTCATACACATTAAATAAATGTGTAAAGTGAAAGCGGTTGTATCTCATACAAAATCATGCATATTATGATCTAATCAAAAGCATAATTCAACATGACACAATATGGCTCACCTAACCTATGTCCATCCCAAGCCAATGAGAGGACCTCTCTAAAAAGATAAATTATATTAAGAAACCTTATTTATTCATATGAGGAGATTGAGATGAAAAGAGAATATACATTCAGAGTTTATAGAGAAAGGCACAACACACAGGTCGTATTTAAAATTTACAACCCTTGTAAAACTAGAGCCATATGTGTCACTATACCTAAATAACTTCAAGGCAAAGAAAACACAACAAATAAATAATTCATATATAATGAAAGGCTATAAATTATGAATTAGATTGCATTACACAAAGTTAGCCACGACGATCCCACTATTGACAGTCCAGACCCTTTAGATTCATCAATCATATTGATAGTTCAACCTAAACCATATGAGAACGTGAACGAACAATAATGACATTGAAAACGCACATCATATGGATGAACATTAGTCATATTGAGAACACACATCATATAGCTAAATATTAATCATATTGATTTATTCAAATTTATATAAATTTGAATATATATAAAACGAGTTTATAGATATAGATATTTCGAAAACATCACATGAAAAACATATATATATATAGATTTTGAAAATATCATATATAAAATTTGAAAATCTTAAAGCAATGTTCCTCTAAAGAAGTTTATCACCTGAAAATTTAAAAACGTAATCAACCAAAACCCAACTTAAATGAAAATTCGACCTGGCTCTAGTACCACTGTTGGATAGGGAGGCGTAGCGAAAGATTAAAATTTTAAAGTCCCTATCCTGATATAGACTGAACGAACTTGTCTAAGTCAAAGTGGATAGAAGAGTTATCTTTTTAATTCTTTGAAGTTGGCGCATGTTTGGATCTCAAGAGCTGACAAAGTAGATCTGCTCCCTCTACCAGTATCCACACGAACAACTCTCTAACTCGAACAGCGTGCTAGTGCTCTGAGCGTCCGTTCTTCTTTGAACGTTAATTTCCTTTCTATAAGGTGTTTCGTGGCTCTTAGAGTATTTTTTTTGTCAGAACTTTTCTAACTCTCTCTCTACCTTCATAAGGACATCCCTATCTATATATAGTATATAGATAAGGGTTTTTGTCTTTCACTTAAAAGCTCATAAAAATTTAATTAAATTTATCTCATAAGTTTAATCCATAATATCATATCTAATTCAAATTTATCTTATAAATTTAAATTATAAAACTGACATGATATTCTCTCTTATCATATTAGTTATTAAACTTAATCTATCATATAAAATTAAATTTAAAACTAATATAAGATAATATAATATAACATAACATAATATAATATATATCACATATACATATTATATTATATATATACGAATATATATATACATATATATTTCAAAAATATATATATATATATATATTATATTATCTATATTTAATTTTATATCTCATATATATATATATCTTATATATATATCTGATATATATATATTTCAAAAAAATATATATACATATATATATATATATAATTATATTTTGCATTTTATATTTCATATAAATATATATATATATAAATATTTATTAAATAAATATTCAAATATATATATATATATATATAAAATTCATTAACCCTATATTACATTCATTTAATCTAGACATATTTCAGATTCAATGAATTTGAAAATTACAGCTCGAGTTGGGCGTTCTTGTGTGTGAGAACTTATAGTCCCGAATCAAATTGGTAGTAGGCTAATTACGCTATTAGCCCACAAGTTACAAGTAACCTCTAGCAAGACATTGTAACTACCTAATTCACATGAGGATCGATGATCCAATATAACATATCATGCAACCATATCATATCCCTTTTATCACGCGATATTTTGGTCAAGTATGAGACATGTGTGAAGGATAAATTTCATCTTGACCACTCATATTTCTCTACGTGAATATCACTAAACTCAATCATAGCCTTTATAATCACTCAGTCAAAGGTGACTTTTGACTAGATCAAAATTCAATAGTTATCATGTAAGAATCCATGATAATCTCAGGTTAAAGGGCTTAGTGATATAGTTACATATGAGATAAGCTTATAATTCGTACCATGCAACTTTCTCATAACGGGTCGATCTAGCACCTTATGTTCTTTCAAGTTCCTATGACTTTAATTTGTATTTTTGTAATTGATCAAAGTCATACTAGTCTTATTTCATCTATGATCCCTCAAAGATAACCGACCAAGGACATTTAGGATAATCACTATAATTTGTCCAGGAATATAGTTATTATATTGAACATGCAATTGTTATAATAACAAAAGAGAAATTCATTAAATAACAATGTGCACAATACAATGATTGGTCCTAGGGCACAATTTCCAACATTGTGTTCCTAATAATGATATCATGAATTGAATCTTAATTTCTTTCCATATATTCGTTAATGATTTGTGTGACTAACTCTATTTATATGAAAAGTGCTAAAAAGCATTGTTTCTCAAGTAATGTTATTACATGAGTGGAATTGAGAATATATATTTTCAAATGTTTTACATGGGTTAAATTTGCATTTAAACTAATTAACATGCATTAGTATGGGTTAGTCAAACTTTGGTTATGGAGTAGTTATAGTCACGCCATTATTTTCAATATTATAGGGAATAGCTCAAGAGGTGTGGACAAAGGAAAATACTCATAGGCCTAGGACAGCAATTTTTTAGTAGTAAGCCTCTTATTTTGAGTAATTATATGTGTATGACAATTTCAATTCTCAATTAGGAATTCTCATTTGTTCCTTACTTGCATTATGTGAATTGTAAATCGTAAATGTATTTTGGGCCTTAGGGAGTGAGTTGATGAGTATGTGTTATCACGAAAGGGCTAAATTACTAATGCAAGTAAGAGTAGACTTAATTATGTGACGATTTGGGAGAATTTGATGAAATTATGGTAAGCTCCTCTTTTTATGTTTTTGAGTTTAAAGGGTTGAGTAGTAAAAATTTAATTTGGGAGTATTTCATGTGATATGGTGCATTGCATGAGTTAGTCTTAGTAATTTACATGTGGTTAAATTGGTATTGGTGGCTATTGGCCTTTGGTATTTGGTTTGGATACTTAAAAATTGTGAAAATTATTGTAAAAGTGTAAGTTTTGAAAACGGTGTCCTCATTTTTTTAAAAAATAATTTCAGAAAGAGCTTTTCGTAGACACTTAGTTCTCGTCATTCTGATATCGGACAGAGTTTTAGGATGCGTTGGAAGTTGGCCTCAATGCTATCAATTCGACAATAGAATTCACTGTCAAAATTCATGCAATTGCGCTGTGGCACATGGTGCCATGAGCCACGGCACATGCCTAAAATTTTTTAAAATTTTTCTTGTTTCAAATTCTTAAGCAGATGCACTCACTTATGCAATGATCCCTTACTTTCGCATATTTTTGTACTCTGATTTGTCTAGTTGCAAGACTTTAAAAAGAATCTTAATTTTGTAAACTTAGGGTCACCATTTTACTAATCATTGAAAACTTGGTATTTTGATAATTACAACAATTCCATTCCCTACTTACTTGGGATTTAGTTTTAATTATGGGATTTGAAAGAGGAGGATATTACAGGATTGATATTCATGAGCATTGTACTCACACTTGTTTTGTAACTCCTACCACACTTGATTGGTTACGAACCCTCATAGACTGTGTGTCCATACTTGTTGTTATTTACCCTCGTAAACTATGTGTCCATGCTTGTTATCTATTCTAATAAAGTCCTGTTGAAGGATATTTTAAACTTAATTTTTTTAAATGAATTTTATTAAACAAGTTGATTTTTATGAATGGATTTCTTTATAACAAGAGAGTTGCATTTCTTAACTATTTTAAAACGAGTATGGTAGTTTTAAAAAAATTATTTAGTTTGAGTTATACACTACTGTTTTTTTCTAATTGATTATTTTAGTTAAATTCATGCTTATTCTATTTATATTACTTTCTCTTATTACTTTGAATTTTATTTTGGGTTACTATTTATTGAAAAATATTTTTTCCTTAGATAATAGTTGAATTTGTATCTCAAGGTATCCATTAAGGAGTTGTATTACTCAATTGAAGAGCAAGAATTATTTTAGATAAATCCTAATTTGATGAAGATTTGAACTTTTTACTCATATTAGAGC